GACGGATATTAGCCCACCTCTAAAGCAAGAGTGGTTTGATGAGCTTACCAGTTTACAATCTTTGACATCTTCAGGTGTAAGTATTAATATCACGGTCCGGTTCCCTTCTCTCTTGTTCTCTGCTTTTCCGGTCTTGTTTCCACTGCTAGGTTCTGCGGAAAGAGACTGTTTTGACATCTTGATTTGCCCTCTATCATTGCTAGACTCTATACGGAGCAAACTGAGGACAGGAGTTGTTGCGTCTTCCCAAATTGACTCCAACGTGATGGAATCTCCCGTCTTTAAGCTGTTTGCTTTAGCAAAATCTTTCCATCCCTTTCCCAAACTCATTCTTCCTCTTCTTTCCAGTAGAAGACTTGCCAGCCACTTTGCACCACCTTTACCCAACAGAGTTATCTCTCCAGGCTGGTTCATGCTATTCTCCATCATAAATTGCAATGGAAGACGCTAGAACGGATATGAACAATTAAAACATGCCATTTCGTTATGCGATAAAACAAACAAGAGTTCATTGATAAACTTACCAGTCTACCATGTTTGAGACTGTCAGGTGTTATTGTTAATGTCAGAAATCGGGTTTGGCTGGATGAAGTAGTGGAATCTCTCCATATCAGATGATTCTTCTCTCTCTCCCATGAGCGGCTCTCCTCTTTGCTATTTTCCTCTTTTCTGTTTCTATCTTCGTTGTTATCATCTTTGCTGATCTCTTTTCCACTGCTAGGTTCTATCAGAAGACCCTCTTCCTCAGTTGCTTTTGAACACCCTCCTCCGTCTTTACTATCAATGCTATGCTCTGCAGAGCACAAGCTGAGCACAGGAGTTGTGTCTTCCCAATTCAACTTGAGTGCAAAGGAATCGCTCGTCTTTAAGCCATTTGCTTTAACAAAAGATTTCCATCCGTCTCCCAAAGTCATTCTTCCTCTGCTTTCCAGGAGAAGATTAGCCAGCCACTTTGAACCATCGTTACCTAACAGATAAATCTTCCCAGGCTTGTTTATGCCATTGTCCCTTGTGAATTGCATTGGAAGGCGCTGTAGAGATTTGAACATGCGTCAAAACCAACAAGAGTAGATTAGAAAAAACTAACCCGCTGAATCAGAAGTTGGTATGACGATCTTACCAGTCTACAATTTCTGACATCAACAGGTGCAAGTCTAAATGTTGCTAATTGTTTCTCGCTTGACGAATATGATGAAATAATCTGTGTCGGACAATCCTTCTTGCGGCTTTTTCCTTTAAGACCATCAGAGTTTGTGAAATCTTCTGAAAGATACTGCATATACCAGCAGATTAGCACAAGTGTCAGATCAAATCACTCTACACTGGTCAAGGATAGGGTCATAAATTATAAGGATTTCCTCCTTACGACATCATGTTAAACAACTAGACATATCAATACACTTTGGTTAGCTTCATGATTCTCTTTGAAACACGTCTAAGAGGGGGCAAAATAAACCAAATCAAATCAACCATACTACATTAACAAGAAAATTGGTTTTTCTTCCGTAAATTTACTCCCAAACTGAAGTAAACTGAAAAAAATGCATATAGTTAACATAAGATGTTACAGTCAATTAAAACCAAATCAGACCGTTGTTCATTTAGTATCTTCAATCGGAACTAGACTTAATGTAAACTATCAAACTGAAATGCCCATCCCCGGGCGAAACAGTTTATTCAGGACTGATTTGCACATCAATTGGACAAAAGTGGTTCAGGCATTTAAACATTTCCTCATGTGAGAACACTTTGTCTAGTTTCATGACTCACCAAAACCGAAATGCCTACACCTCGAAATAACAGTTCAATTAGCTAATGAGTACAAGAACTTTCGCATGAGATTTCAGTTAATGAAGGAGTAAAGTAAACAGAATTATATAATCACCAGTGCATCTCTGTGTAGATTTGAAGCTCTGACATGGGCTACAAAACAAGAGAGCTCTGATGAAGAATCTGCTTCTGTTCCCAAATTGTTAATCTTCGCTTTCTTCTTTCTCGGAAGCTCTGTATCAGAAACACCCCACATGGTAAACATGTAGTTGTTATTTCAAAAGGTTTTTTATTTTGTTTCAATCTGTAGATGTTCTTGAAACAATCCCATCAAAGCAAGTAATCTTAGAAAATATGGTACAACAATAAAATAGAAGAGAACTGAATATACCAATGTTGTCTTGAACGTATGACGAAAAGCCTACTTCTTTTCTTAAGTGCGGATGCATTTTAATCGAAAAGCTACCTGTATCAGAAAAAAGTCCCTAAAATTGTTTTCCACTCACAGTCTCGTCCCACAGAAGCAGCTTTAATTTGCATTTCTTCCTTACGTAACAGCTTTAAATTGTGTACACATATTGATCTTAAAGTTTAATTAAAACAACCCTCCAGATAAACTCTAGTTCGAAGG